CCCTTAGCAACAGCAGACAAGCCGTTAGATGTTATAGGTGTGGCAACATTGGTCACATTGCATCAGTGTGTACTAAGGGGACAGCAACAGCGAATATAAACATCGAGAAGAGAGTGGACATGAGTGCGGTACTTCAGCCTAAGGAAACTGCAATACAATCTGGTGAGCGGTTTCCATTTTTCTTCGATTCGGGTTCCGAATGCTCGTTGGTGAAAGAAAGCATAAGCGAGAACCTTGCCGGAAAGAGATTCCATAATCTGGTAGTGTTGAGAGGCATAGGTGACAATGTTGTCAAAAGCAATAAGCAAATTCTGTCCACTGTACAAATTTCAGGATTTAAATTTGAATTGTTGTTTCACGTAGTTGATGAAAATTGCCTTAAATATGACATGATAATTGGACAAGATATTTTTCAACGTGGTTTTGGAGTTACTTCACAAAGTAACAAATTCGATATTTATAGAACTCAAACTGTAAATAAATAAAACATAAATAAAACGGTTCAGAGACGATGTATCGCTTTAGTGAGAACGAGAAGCTAATAGTAAGGGAGAAAATTCAGCAAATGTTGGAAGCAAAATTAATAAGACCTAGTTGTTCTCCTTTCGCTTGCCCAATGTTAATGGTTACAAAAAAAAAATAAAAAAAAAAAAAAAAGGATGGTAGTGAGAGATTGTGCATTGATTATAAAGAACTACACACAAATATAGTATCTGATAGATGTCCCTTGCCATTGATTTCAGATTCGATAGAAAGAACAGCGTTTGTGACCACGGAGGGTCAATATGAATCTTTAGCAGTGCAGCTTGAACTGAAGAATGCGTCTCCTATATTTATGATGAAATTGTTAAAGCATTTGGGGTTTAGCATAATTGTTTGCGATGGTTTGCATGGATGACGTGTTGGTCATGGCAGGCTCGGAAGATTAGGCTTCCCGAGGACTGAAAATTGTATTATATGTTGACTGTACCAGGGTTTTCATTTAACGTTGCCAAATATGGGTTTCTCGAACCTACTACGCAGTGTCTGGGCTATGAGCTACGCGGTAGAGAAATCAGACCCAATTCCTAGAAAATTCTTACGTTAAAAATTTGTCCTTTCAATCGGTGTAATTAGGCGTAAGACCATTTATTGAATTGGCGTCTTATTTTTAAAAATTTGTGTCTCGATTTTCTCAAATTGGGAAACCGATTCTTTAACTTCAAGTACTTTTTCGTGAAATTACGATTTTCAGAAATTACAACGAACGTCTTTTAGTGCTATTACAAGTGAGCCTGTAATCGTTATTTAGTTGACAGGTGTAAGCTCTTGTGGATATGTTTCAATACTAATAATTAATTAATTAATGGAGACCCTTATGTTGGTGCAGTATATTGGTAGAACTATGTGTCTTGTGGAGTCCAAGTAGCCTTCATATGAATTGGAAACATTGGTTGGCGTACTATTATTCTAACATTTTTGGCATTATTTGCTCAGATGAGAGTTCGTAGTCTATACTGACTGCAAATGTAATCATTGCGGAAATAATTGAAATTAAGTGCATCATCGGTGGCCATACTTAAAATCGTATGATTTTAAAATATAGTATGTGGATTTATTTTTGTGTCCAGAATTCACGTGACTGATTTCAGGATTTATTGATATAGTTTATAAACAACTAAAGATAATTGAAATTAAATTGAGTTACAAAGAGGGGTTTAAAAAAAAATACAGAGAGGTGTGAGGTAGTGTTGTCTGCCAGTAGTGTCCCTTAAATTTTGTTGGTTGATTATTAATCAAAGTTATAAATCCGTTATGTATTTGGGTTAAAAAAAAAAAAAAATAGACTCAGCAAGATTTATCAATGTTGTTGGAAATGACTAAGTTTAAAGATTGTTGAAAGTTGTATAATGTGTAAAGCTCTAAAGTAGTCATCTGGCTGGATACCAGGACCGCAGAGGTGATGGCAAGATGCTCTTGGCGGGGTGCAACTTGCGGCGAACTGCACAGTTAGTAGTGCAATCAATGCAAGTCCTTAAGAGATGCCAATCGGACCCATCCTCTGGGCTTGATACCACCACATGACAGAGAAAAGTATAGACAAAGAAAAGTTTAAAGTTGTGTTATGCTGAGCTGTCGGTAAAATGGTGCAAAAGGAAGAGCACTAAGATTAAAGGCAAGATGAATTTAAAATGGAAGAGTTGTTAAGAATGAGAAAGGAAAGAAAAAAAAGGATAAAGGAATGAAGATGGAAAATTAAGATGAAGAACGGCACCAAACAGAGCTGGATCCGAAGAGGACCCTTTGTCATTATAGAAAAGCTTGATGGTGGCCGATATGTTTTGAGATATTTGTCGAGTAAGCGAAATTTTAAGTAGTTGCCTGCGATGCCTGTTGAGGTAGATGCAGATGAATGCGAGAGATCGCCGACTGAGGCACTCGTAGGTATCATAAAATCAAAGCAAGAGATCTCTATTTTAAGATGGTTGAGGTGGTGCCATACACAGGGACTAAATTTGAATGATTGTGTGAAGCGTCGCTAAGGTGCGGCAAGAGTCCGGTACTGTGGTATGTGTGTGTGGTAGCCAGACGATTGAACTTGAGCAGAAGAGAGCGTGTACTCTAATTGATGTGTTAAGGAATAGCCTGCTAAGTTAATGTCTGATGGATATCCAAACTGTTGGGTTTGTGCAGAAGAGAGCATGTACTCTATGGTCGTGAAAGATTATCCTGCCAAACTAACATTTGAAGACACTGGAAGTGTAAGCGAGAGATCGCCGATTGAGGCACTCGTTGGTGGAATATAAGGCTATGAGGGTCCAGAGAGACCGTGACGCAAAAGGTGCGTGTGAGCGTTGCAAAGTGTGCAGCAAGAGCCTGGCAAGAGTTTGGTACAGTGGTAGCCAGACGATTGAACTTGAGCGGAAGAGAGCGTGTACTCTAAACGGTGTGTTAAGGAATATCCTGCTAAGTTAATGTCTGATGGAATTCAAAATTGATATCCAAACTGTTGGGTTTGTGCGGAAGAGAGCGTGTACTCTATGGTCGTAAAAGATTATCCCGCCAAACCAACGTTTGAAGACACTAGCAGTGTAAGCTAATTGATATTGAAGAGTTATTTAGAGCAGTATGAGTAAAGAAGCTAAGTTATGATTATTGTAAAGATATAGCAATGAAGTTTGAAGGCCAATTTTATGTAGAACTAAGCAACACGAGGTCGTGTTATAGTCAGGAAGGCCGTGTCGGAGATTACTTTGAAATGTTAGATGTAATTACTATTTGTAAGACTCTAAGTGTATCGAATATAGAAATAAATGAAGAGTAAAATAAGTAACGAGAGAAAAGGAAGAGAACTTATTAAGAAAGAGCGTGGTGGGAATGAAGAGAGTATTCCCTACCGAGTGTGGCGCAATGACGAGTAGAGAAGGACGAGAAAGTAGAGAAAGGAAAAAGTGCAAGTCAGTTCGAGCGAGACTGTGAAGGAAAGCGGACGAACTATTTAGTCATTGCGACTCACTGCGCTTAGAAAAGAAAAGGAAACTACCATGGCCGATAACATTGACCCCCCATCCCCGACATACATATATATGTTCGTAGGGACTATATAGAAGTCTTACAGATTGCTTGTTGTGGACTCCAACTTTTGATTTGTTGACTTTGATAAACGTTGCTGCAGTTTGTTGGGGTTTATATACAATTTATTGGGGCTTTGGTTTCACTACTCAAAGACATTAAAATTGAAATATTGAAAACAAAAAGGGTTTTGTGATTTAAAAGAATCTGTTTATTAAACTTAGATGTTAAAAAATAAGTAATTTTATGATACTAAGCTGGAAATTTTGTGTTTATTAGATTATGTTAAATACAAAGATATCTCAAAATATTTAAATTTTCTCCTCCTCCCCCCCAGCTTCCACCCAAAACCCCTCCCAAAAGAGATCTCGAAGCGTTGAAGCCAAGCCGCCGCCTAAAGTGATTGTGATTGCAATGTGGAAGGCAAGCAACGCCAAACAAAAATCGAGTAAAGCAAAACAGAGGCTTTCGGAAAGCACAGAAAAGACCTGGCAAACACAAACATCCGATGGGGAGAGGATCCATCGGATTCACTATACCTGTTTCTGGCGGAGATCCACTCCATCACATCCAGCCCCATCAAACAGAAGCCAAATGAGCTTGTCGAGAAACGGCCGGAAACACTGACTCTGACTCTGATGGTGACGCTGACGGTGTCTTCAATCGCCGAGGTCCGCTTGAGCTGCAACTGTAGGGCCGGAGGGCTGATCAAAAGGTCCGCTCGAGCGGATCTTCTGTGGGTCAAGCAAATGCTCCTTAACGCGTCTTAATCCAAAGTGGCTACTGAGTTGCCTCCGCTCAGCAGCAGCAGCAACTAAGTTCTTCTGCCTTCTTCTGGACAAACACTTCTAGCTACCGATCTTCGTTTTCCGACCGGAGTCCGGTGGCCATCCGTTCCATCAATCTTCCGCGGCGGGCTGCTGTCAATCTCCTGCGGCAAATAAACTCGAGTGCCTCTCACATGCAAATAACCAATATTTGCTCTCGGATTATTAAGTGAGCCAGCCATCAGCATCCCATTCCTACGCCCATTTGCCAGTTCCCATCGGTGGTTCTTATGCTCCTCCTGTTGCTGCCGGTACACTGAGGTGAGGTGGGTTGGCTTGTTAACTGTTTGCTCGGGCTGTTTAATCGCTTTAATGGTTAGGCAATTAAGAGTTTTCGGAAAACCTCTTCAAAATGATAACTAGACACCGACTTGCAGTTGGGGAAATTCACTCATTTTCATTGAATCGTTTGAAATTCTCCGAAAAACTATAGTGTTTTGATTTTGCAAGATTATTAACATCCTTTTGAATGAAGTGGTAATTTCAACTAATCAAGATTAAAGTTCTTTCAGTATTATTTTCCTTTCGGTTCTCTTGACAAGACAACTCACAGGTATGTTCTGGTGAAAAATTTGACTCATGGGACCAATTAAAACCTTAAAAAACTTTTATTTCTTATAATTGTTCTGCTTTAATCCCTTGGTTTTATTTCATGTGAAGCATTTCATGGAAATGTGTGTTCGACTTCTTGACATTTACAATAACATAAATACAAAATTGTTTCGTAAATCTTTTCAAAAACTTTTCTTTTCGCGCCGCCGCCTTGCAGATGGACTTTTGTATGTACAATTTCCACCTGCCATCTATGTTCGCAACGTGTACAGAGCCGACATTTATGAAATGTCGTTTAAAAACGTTAAAAGACTACTCTGATCGCCACATTCGAAGCTGGCGGGGCAAACGCGCTTAAAAACTAAATTCAGTTGCGGGTGTTTTGATGGCACACACATTGGCACATACGCCCGGGACCTCGCAACAACAACAAGAACAGCCGTGGGGTTGATTTACATGTGTGTGCGCATTGTTGTTGCTGGCTGGCCCGCAAGGCAGAAGTGTCGCCGTGGCCAAAATGAAGACTGTTCGTGTTTTTACTCCTTGGAGGCCATATGTCCCACCAGGTTGCTGGTGATCTTCTCGATCTTCTTCAGGTCCGGCATGTTTTCCGCCTTGTACTGCACGCACTGAGGGATAAAAGAAAGGATTAATGAAAATGTGCTTCTTGAGAATTGAAAATCACCCAACGAACCTTAACATTGTCGGTCATTTTGAGCAGTATATGGCCCTTGGAGTGGACGTATTTCATCGTGTAGCGGCAGTTCTGGGGATTCGCCATGTACATGTTCTCGGCGGCGATTTCAAAGTCCTCCCAGTTCTTCACAAAAACCATTTTTAATTCGGCTAAATAGAAATGCAAGTGCAAAGGGAAATTATAAAAACAACAACAACTGGACGGCGTGACGTTGATGTAGTGTGACTGTTTGCTGGAAAAAATACTAGCTTGCGATAACGATAACGATAGATCAGAAAAACTGATTTGTTTATTATTTTTCGGGACAACTGGGGGATATTTATGAAAATAAAAGTTTGTGAATTCTTTAAATTTACAAATTTAAGCTCCATAAATACGTTATTCACGTTTCACTTGCAATACCGAAATATCGGAGCCAGTTCCGAGATGTTCCTGTGTGACCAGACTCCAGTCTGGTATTTAGTCAGCACCGCGATACAGTCACACTGACACCCACACACTCGTCGCTCGCTCGCAAAGTGTTCCAATATTTATTGCAAAAATGCTGTGAAAATCCATATTTATATTATTTTGAATGCTCAATCATACGCAACGGATGGCCGCGGGGGCGTGTGCAGTGAAATCCGCGCGCAACACCACCGAAAATGCGTCGAAAAACAAGTGCGAAAAACGATGAAATCTAGTCAACCAAAATTTGTGAATGTTGGGGGAAGAAGAGCTGAGACGAGGCTAAAGCAGCAGCAACAACAAAACGAAAAACGCAAATAAAAGTGACACGCAGGAACAGAAAAATGCAATTTATTTAAATATATATATACTAGAAATAAGCGAAATTTAAATACGACGTTGACACAAACAAATCATCGCTGAGAAGTGTGTGTGACGACGAATGTCTGTATTGCTCTCTCTCTCTCTCCCTCGCATTTGTGTTGTTGTTGTTGTTTTGGGGTTGAAAAGGCATCGCCTGCATAACTGTTAACGCGTGACGTAGAAACCCAAACAGCAGTCAAGTGCACCACCCCTCCCTCACCCACTGCCCCCCATCCCCACTGAGCATAAGGAAACCCCTTTCAATACGAGAGCTCCACAAAATAATATACATAATTAATTCATCATGATGGACAACGACGATACCCTGCTCAACAATGGCGGGCCACAGTCCGGAGCGGAGACCGTCTACGGAACGGAGGACAACAACATGGTCATGTCTGAGAAGGTAATAAGCAAACAGCCACAAGTTCTGGCTATTCAAATCGATTTCCATACTAAAAACTAAAGTAAGATCATTGTGGGATGATGGTTATGATAAGATTTAAGGCCAATTCTGTAAATCAAAAGGAATATCCTATAGTTGAAAATATATCTCAAGTTATGGAAGTTTCCAAAAAAGAATGAATATCGGTTTCCATTTGTTGTTTGTTTTTAATTAAGAATCTTCTCTTAAAAAGATATATAACTCAGATTTGTGGGTATAGGGTCTGATTCATGCGGGCAGGGCCGATTTTCCCTTAACTCAGATAACGCACTAAAATATATGTATGTGTGTACAATATGTTCTTGGGCCTTGCTCCTTAACACCCACAATCAAACCCACTCGCACACAAAAGAAACTGGCACAAACACAAGATAATGAGGCTATAAAAGTGTCCCAAGCGGAAATGCTACATACTACAATCGAAGAAAAATGCTTTCTTTTCTCTCTTTGCCTGTTCTTCTCTCTTTTTCGCACACACTTAATTATGAAACGCATCCAACAATTGTTTATTATGCATCAGCTGACGACGCTGGTCATTGACATTCAAACTGGCGAAAAATAGCTCCCAAAAATGGAGAGAAATGAGGAGGCAAAGAGAGGAGAGAGAAGGAAAGAAGCAAAAGAGAGTAAAAAAGCCGGGGACCAGAAATCAATAAAGTCAGTCAGTCGGTCCTCAAAATTTTATGACCACCGCACGCAATACTTTGCACAGAGAGCAATTTTAGGTGGATTTATATAATATATTTTATAAATAATCCTTAAAAAAAAAATCTAAAAAAAATCCATATAGTATTTCAGAAAAACACTTTTGAAGTGAACTAATATTTAGTTATTTTTAAAATTTAATTTGCCCAATGAAAGGAGCTTAATAACTTTTTTAAGTAATTGTAGTCGGTTTCTTTTAGCTTCCGTTTCCCCCAAATCGATCGATTTTTATTAGAATATAAACCAAATTTGGCTTAGTGTAGCCTCCTTACAGCCCACTCTGAGCTCTCTCCAGTCTATTTTATTTTTATTTTTCACCCCAATTCTCTGATTGATTTTGCACTTTATAAGCTTCGCCAGGCTTTAATCGGCCAGCTATGCAAATTAAAGCAAAGAGACATTGTCGGTGCCCAAGCCCTGTTCCTCCTACAATCTCTTTTTTCACACTCTCACGTACAAGTGGTGGGCCATTTCCTGCCCCTCAGCTCCCAAATGAGCTCATCAGGTTCCCCTGCTCCTGGTTCTTAGCGCACATGTTTCGCTGATAAGCTACCTGTTAATTGAGTAATGAGTTCACAGCAATTTAAAGCGGGAAGCATTGTTAACACACCGATGAAAACTTGTTTCTTGGCCCAACAGCCGCAGAAACCATGTATTTGTGAAACAAGTCTGTCCAAAAATGTTTGAATACCTAAGCATGGGTCTGACTCGAGTTGGCCTTATAAGTTGACTCAACCTTGGTCCGATGACAAGTTTTTCAGAGAAGGGAGTTGGCGTTCATTGCAAATGCCATAAAACTTGAAGAAAACATAGAAATAAGTAGCTAAATATATACAAGAATTTATATATTTGATTACATATATTAAAATTATATTAAATATAAAATTGATCGTTCTCATTTGGACCTCATAAATCCCCTTCATTGTTATTTTATAATTTTGTTATCTACACATTGTACATTAAGGTTTTTTGTTAATATTTTTGGCACAGCATTAACTCATTCATTTTTAATGCACTTTGGGTTTTATTTCTTCATTTTTCAGTTAAAAAATTTAATTTACTAAACATTTTATTTTTTACGTGTCCTTCACACTTTGTTTTTGTTCTTTTCTTTCTCTTTCAGAATGAAGAGGTTGTCAGCATCGTGAGTTATCCAAAATTTTTCGTTTGTGGTCTATATAATTTCTGTCCTATACTCTATACTTTGTTATTCACTTTGCAATACGTCATAATGCACGATATAATAATAGTTTTATTTACGCCTTGCTTTTGTTTGTTTGTTTTACGTTCTCTACTAACAATTTTAAGGCCAAGAAGGTTTCAGCCTTAACCTTTCTCGGTTTTAAATTATTTTTTTTTTTAAAGATAAATTGTTTTCTCTCTTTTGACTATTAACAAAACGCATGACTTACGACTACTGCTGAAGGGGGCTTTATACCAGTGATAAAAAAAAACCACATTAGGTCATATTACGAGAGCTTTCCATTCATAAAACAGCGGCCACAAACCGCAATTATGCTAACCGATTTAATTAAGCAGTTAAATGGGAGGAGCTCTCCACTATCTTTACTTCTTACTCTCTCCGTTTCTGTAATTATGTATGTGTGTTGTTTTGTAAATGAAATCTTCTGTGAAGGATCCTATTGAATACCCTTGCAATAAAACAATTAGTTATATTATTAAATAGTATTAAAACCCATTTTTAACAAAGACAACATAAAGAAAGCCACGTACTTTAAATCATATGGCGTTACGCATCTTATTCTTTATATTGCTATTGGTTTGAGGAATTATTAAAGAGGGAAAAGGGTATTCAATGTTGTCTTCCTATCTTCCTGATACTCTACTAATTAATTGCACCTTGTGTTCCCTTTGACTCACGAAATTCAAAAGAAAATTCACTGATGCATATCACCTTATTTTTTGTTCTTTGCCATGTGCCACGCCTCCGTTTGCAGGTCCAACAACTGGCGGGTAGCATTTATCAGGAGTTTGAGCGTATGATCAATCGGTACGATGAGGATGTGGTGAAGAACCTGATGCCATTGCTGGTGAACGTGCTGGAGTGCCTAGATGCCTCGTATCGCATCAATCAGGAGCAGGATGTGGAAGTGGAGCTGCTGCGCGAGGATAACGAGCAGCTGGTGACACAATATGAGCGGGAAAAGAGTGCCCGCAAACAGTCCGAACAGAAGGTGTGTTTAATTAAAATATTATCAAAGGCAAAAGGTAACCAATACTCTGTTTTTAAAAGCTATTGGAAGCCGAGGACCTGGCTGAGCAGGAGAACAAGGAGCTAGCCACACGCCTAGAATCGGTGGAGAGCATTGTCCGAATGCTAGAACTGAAGCACAAGAATAGCCTAGAGCATGCCAGTCGCCTGGAAGAGCGGGAAGCGGATCTCAAGAAGGTAAGAACAGCCTCGAATATTTCTCTAAACTCTGCAGAAGTTCATGTAACTTCTTTTTTAACCCTTGCAGGAGTACAACAAGCTGCACGAACGTTATACGGAGCTGTTTAAGAACCATGTGGACTATATGGAACGCACCAAAATGCTGATGGGTTCCACGCACTCCCAAATGAGTACCGCCTCCGACCGCATGGAGGTGAGCCGGGCCAGACTCAATCCCGTGGCTCGCAGCTCGGGACCCGTTTCCTATGGCTTTGCCTCGCTGGAAAACTCGGTGATGCTGGATACAGAGACCATTTGCAGCGTGGGCAGCCAGTCGGATGACTCGGGACCTCCTTCGCTGCAGAATGAGCTTGATAGCCTGGCCGCTGGAACGGTGGAACGTGGAGCTGCCACTGATGCGCTGCAGCAGCAGCATCAGGCCACCTCGCCCCAAAGCCCCGACAGCAGTCCAATTGTGCCAAATGTGCCCGCAAATGGTATGTGCAGAGATCGCAGGGAATTTATGCCTTTGCTTACTTTACATTCTTAACCGCTTACCATACTAATTTCTTTCACTTTTCTTTTGATTTTTGTGTGTTAACTCGACTAAAAACAAACTCTGCCACCGAACAACCCAAATCCAAATTCCCCAACCCAGTTGGTCGTTCGACCACCAAAAAGGAGCAGCGCTCGGATAACAATCTTTACCAAGAGCTGTCCTTCCAGGACAACGAGGAGAGCGAAGAGAATGAGATAGTCACAGGTGAGGAGGTGGTGGTAATAAGTTTTTGGTCTTTATTTGCTCCCTAAGTGTTGTGACTGAATAGAATAGTTTAGTAGTCAAAGAAAATTGTTTAAGAACGAT